CTTATTTTTATACAGTAGAGAGTAATTAACAAAATAAGAATTCCTTGAAAATGTTAGCTTCTGGTTCCAAGAAGGTCCTGAAATATGATCATTTTACTTTTAACAGATTTTAGCCACACCCCTCTTGTCCCCTATTTACTTTTATTGTAAAAAGGCGTTTTTATAATATGTTACGTACTCTCTGTTGTAAAAGGCTTCTGATAAGATCATTGTGATCTTCTTTTAGAAGCCTTGTTTGTATTTGAAAAATATGTAATTTATATATATTACGTCAAATGTAAACAAAAAAAAAAAAATAATAATATTTGGATAACATGGCACGGGCCCCACTTTTTTGTAGCGTAATCTTGCGATACATTTTTCACTACCTTCCAGACAAGGTAGAGCTCTGAAACTTTCTGAATTTTTGTAGTCATGATGAACGTGTGTTAAAAATGTTTCCAGGGCAGACAACCAGAGGGCAACGGGGCTCGGGCACCGGGGGCCATGTCCCACTTGTTTTCTTAAATTATTATAAAATAAAATACAAAAAAATAGTTTCAAGATTTTGTTAATATTTGATTAAATGCATCAACGGTTAAAGTATACAAACGCCCAGTTGTTGTTAAAGGTGCATCGATGTTTCAAATTATGTTGTTAATTAGAACGCAACACTTATCTGCTCTAGATAGCCAGAAAAGTTTGTTTAAAGGACAATATGGACATAATATCTTGCTCAGTATTGTAAATTTCATTTATCATACCAATCCATTGAAACAAATCATATTTACACAGAATAAATTCACCAAATTTCATTGTACTGATGTTAATTTGCAGATCAGGTTAAGATCTTTGAATACCAGAAAAAGAAAAAAAGCCTGTTATATTAAGATCTTAAAAAAAATCCCTTTAGTATTGTTTGTACAGTAGTTAAACATTTTATTGCAAATCAATATCTGGTCATTTATGGGCCTTTGTAGACTTGCATTTGCAGTTAATCGTTTTACAGTGCCATCAATACCATCACATGGTGACTTACCATTAATGTCAAAATTATCTTTATGGAGATAGATATTGTAAAAGTTTTTGTGGTTTTTATACTGTGCAGCACAACCGTCTTAAAAATAATCTTTGAAATGTTAGTATGATATTCTTTTAAATAATTTACTAATTGTGTCTGAACTTCATACACAAAACCAGTGTCATGCTCATTGTCTTCTGACATGAAGCAAAACGGTTTTTCTTTAAGCTGGTCATTTTCGTTTAATAAATAGAGGGCAACTGGGTGTAATGTGCGTTGAGTTTTGCACCAATGATAATTTTGTATTTCATCTTGAATCACAAACAATGCAGTCTTTGGTTAACTTTTCCTTTTGTTGCCTTAGGTATCTTGCTTGACATTTCGCAATGTAGGAATGAGTTAATAACTTGTTTATTGCCTCTCATAACATCAATTTGTATTCTTCAATTGTTGTTGTCTGACAGATCAATATTGTTCTGTCTGTTTTCTGCCACTGATTAAATTACACCTCCTCGTCATTGTCATTGTCAATTAGCTGTGCATCCAGAAACTTGTTTAAAGAAACTATACCTGGACAGTTCGAACATTGATGAATCATGCACTCGCTACTTTTCACATTACAAACAATTTTCATCGTCAGATTTTTGTAAGTACAATTTAATTGTATAGCTTTGGTCAAGAGTATTGCATTTTGATAGTGGGTACATACACAAACAGAGTGACTTCCTAATGCTCCAACAGTTAAACACCATTTTGCAAAACCTAAAAAAGCCAATAACTTCTTGATGTATTTAGTTTTAAAAGAAACATACAGTTCTTTAAGATTACATAAAATTAGGTGCTTTTGCATGTGTTGTTTTCTACCAATACTTACGTAATCTTTTTTACCAGGCATTTGTCTAGTAAATTCATTATCATGGTTTATATTGTTGACTCTATTTAATGTTATTTTAGAAAATGTTTTACCTTTCTTAGTGTCTGGAACTGCAATTATCCCACTTTCTTTTAGTTTGCGCGCTTTTCTAATTTGGTATTCAGGGACGTTGAAATATTGCATAGCATAATTTCTTGACCAAGTCTCTGGTGTAAAAGTTAACATCTGAATTCGAATTTTACAGAAACAACTAACTTTTCTTTTATTTCTGCTGTTAGTTTGTCTAGATTACCGCGTTTACTTTTGTCAATACTTTTAGTATGAGGAATTTTGTATTTAAGTTTTGCTTCTCTAACATTGTATACTTTTGAAATATGATCTTCATAATTTGACATTTAACTTTAATTGTAGCAATAGATAACCGTTGATGCTTTGGAATGTCATGAAGTTTTATGGGAGATACACCTATTATTTCAAGACTAACATTTAATGTCTCTCGTAACTGATTCTTTTCCAAACTTGCATTTGAAAAAGATTGCTCAAATTCACAAGTTCATTAAATTTACTTATTATAGCATCAAAACAGCTTCAACAAAGTTGATATCCAGGCACAAATTTGCAAAATTGATTCTCAATTGTTTTGCCATGTTATTACATGACTACCTGAAATAAAAAGTACAATTTATTGGTAGTGATTACCAATGAACATGAAAACTATTTGTTCTTATTTCAATTATATAATGCATAACATAACCATCTTATTTTCAAACTTTTGTAAACTAATAAATTTTAATTTTTATATTCAGATTATACAATGATTCTTCATCAATTATTTACCTTTGATTGCTTTTCTTTACGATTTATGCTTGTCCAATAAATTATAACATTGTGTATGCTTCTTCTCAAAGTTTGAAAAGAAGATCTCCTAAATTAATTCTTCTCTGACATCTTCTCTATAACAATCACATCTCTTTAAAACAGTCTTTCTAAAACAAATCAGTTTATGACAAGTATCATTTAACAGTTTTTTTAAAGTCATACGAATCCATTCTTATTTTAAAACTAACCTTGATAAAAATGACAAAAAAACATTTAACATTTTAGAATTAGAAAATATCAATTAAAATAATAATTTTAAAAAGTGATATAATTGTTTTATTAATGTAATGTTATGACAGGATGTTTTTTTTACTTTTGGATTTTATCTAATTAAACAACTTGCAGTTAACATTTTAGAATTAAAGTATATACATTTTTTTGAATTTAAAAAGTTTTAAATTATACAATCTAAAATTCTGTTAAAATCATTATTTTAGATGGATGACTGTTTTTAATCCATATACTTGCAAATCAAAATTCTGAAAAATATAAACTTTCTTCAGATATTATAAGAAAGATCATTGAAAATGAATAATCAAAAACCGAATGGAACAAATATAAATCAAAGAAAAATTTAAAGACAATGTTTTCAAAGTTTGTTTTCAAATGTTTTCAACTTTGTTGTAAAAAAATTTTTTTTTTTTGAGAACATAAGTAGAACATGTCTGCCCTGGAAACAATTTTAAAATGCACGTTTATTGGCACTACAAGATTGCCGAAAGTTTCAGAGCTCCAGTTAGTCTGAAAAGTAGTGAAAAATGTATTGCAAGATTACGCTACAAAAAAGTGCTCGTGCTCTGTTATCCATATATGGAATTCTACATACTTGCAGATTTAATTTCTTATGTTTTCTGAAAGTTTATTGAATATAGAATGGTGCGTAAATTTTTTTTTTTTTGATATCATCAGGGTCACATGGGTTTCTTGAGCATCAAAATCGGGTATATAAAAATTGCCTGAATTTATTTAAATTGATAATTACAGGTTCTTATTAATACTATTTTTCATTTCTGATAATTTTTTCGGATTCTTTACCCCTGAAAATAGCCAGGTACAAAATTAGTTTTACGTTGTGTTATTTCGTATTTTCAGCTTGTTTGACTATCTTTATTTTTTAATCTATTTCTGTAAAAGTTTAAAACTTGTTTATTTTGCGTAAATGCGGCAATCTTCATCTTTGTATAATAATGTTAATGGCAAAGATGGCGTTACAAAAAAAATTTAATTGTATTTATCAATACTTTGAAATTATTTTAGCTCAACCTTAACTTCTTTAAAATAAAAAAGCTTCAACCAAACACTTTTTTTTACTAAATAAATAAATCTCTATATAACCAATCTTCTGATTCCAAAATCAACCTGCCCTATTCTGCAAGGTACTAGCTGGATAAAGTCTTTATTTAACTTAGAGCTTAAAGGCCTCTAGGCTCTAAGTTGACAAAACACCCTCTGCTGGCCGAGGGTGTTTTGTCAAGAGTTTTAGTTAGAGTTAACTAATCTTAGCTTTTTTCCAGGAAGACCTTAAAAAAATAGCAAGACATTTGCAGATTGTACTGTATTCCATGTATTACAATAAGGTGATTACAATGATTCTGACCTGAAATCTAATTGAATATATGAGTAGTAAAATAGTATTGATGATCCCATTACGTTGCAAACATTATTATTGGTTCGATATTGATATTATAATTTTCTTTTCTTTTCAATTTTAATTAATTACCTCACACCTTTTTTTTTCTGTAAATTATTGGTTTAAATTATTTGCTTTTTTAAAAAAAGTTAATTTTAGGACGTATAAAACTAATATGTTGGCGCGCTTTAAAAGTTACTTTTTAATAAATGTTTATTGATCCCCCTCTCCAATTTTTTTGTGAGTTTATTAACTGCTATTTTTTGAAACCAAAAAATTTTCAAAATGCATTTATATATCAATGTAGAGACTTTGAAAATAAAATTTCGAAAATAATTCGTTTATTTAAGTATAATAAAATAAATTAACTTGAATATATATATATTTTTTTAAATATTAAAACACTTTTATTTAAAAAATGTATTACATTTATTTTTTTACAAATTGAAATATCCATTTAAATTAGTTCTTGTTAAAACAATAATATATAATAATAAATTATATAAAAAATAAATTCAGTATAATGTCACCAAATTATAAAAAACATACTGAAACAGTATACAAAATAAAATAATACATGTTAAAATATAAAGTAAGTTTAAACATGTAAAAAAATTAAAATAAAGAAATTAATTTAAAAACTGAAATATTAGAAAAAAGCTACTTATCATTAGTTTGAAAATATTTTATTGTAATAACTGCTAACCCGGCTTTTTTTCGCTTGTTAAGGCATTCATAAAAGGCGATTTATTGAACGAGGTGTTACTACGACTCGTGTTATATAAATCAGTTAGAGTTTTATTATCTTCCGAGTATGTTTTTTTAATATCGTGTTTTGTTCGAGGCCAGATGTTATTTACAAGAACAAAACATAAAAGTGTCAGTATACTTAGCTCTCCAAATATTAGAAAAGTCAATGAATGACCATACTCATGTACCATGAATCCACCTACTAACCCGCCGATAGAAAAACCAAGTCCACTTTGTATTCCACTAAATAATCCGTGCAAAATGTATCCAGTAGCCCCTTCTTGCCTAATGTACGATATAAGCGATGATCTGATTGCAGCGGACGTCATTCCATGCGTAATTTCAATTGGTAGTACCAACCATGGCTGACGCAAAAAGCTGTAATAAAAAAATCTAGCGGAAAAGAACAACAGCCCAATATAAATCAAACGAAAATGTCCAACATATCCCATTAATCTCTCGGCAATTATGTAAAACATAACTTCAGCAATACTATTTATCAGAGAAACAAATGCCAACAATATTTGCAGTCCGCCCATTTCTCGCAAATGCCAAAATAAAAACGTTGATATAAATCCGTTGCCAAATCCACAAAAAAAAGTAACTACCACTAAGCTAGCAAGATGAACATCATTAATGGTTTTAACCGATTGCCAAAACGTTGCTATGGTTTCATCCAGGTCAACTTTTTCAATTACGGATTTTGTACGAAATTGAGTAGCCGCAAAAAAAGCCATGATAATAAAAAACCCAAAAAAAAAAAAACATGGACTGTAATTTATATTTTTTTCTTTTGTACATTGATTTTGAATTGAGGTAAAACTAACAAAGCTACCAACAGTAAATGAAAACACTGAAGAACCAACAGCAGCCCATAACACTTGTTGTGCAAAAGATTGCCCGTGTTGTTTTAATTTTTTAAAAGTGTATATATCGGCTAAAACTTGGGCAGGCGAAGCAAAGCTTACTCCGATTATTGTTACTAATAAAAGTAAAATAAAAACATTTGAGGAATCAGACAAATGTTTTTCTGAATCATATTGCGCGTAAGTTGTTGACACATCAAACGACGAATTTAAAATTACAAAAGAAGAATAATAGTCTGCTGAAACCTCCTCTTCCTCATTTTGAACAGTTCTTCTCAAAACAAAGACTTTTTGATCTCGTAATGTTGAAAAGTCAAACCACTTTTTAGTTGTTAGGGCTTGCATTTGACTAACATTATTCATTCTTAAGCATGCTTTAGGTTTATCTTTAGGTACAAACAATATGCTGATGGTGCTAGAGAACCAGAAAAACAAAGCAAACAAAATGAATGTTTTGTGACATCTGTATTTTTCTGCAAGAACACACCAAAGAGGAACAAATAAAAACTGAACTAAATTTCGAGATGCAACAATTGCACCAACTTGTCTGGGAGAAAGAAACAGCTGACGATAATAAAGTGGAAGATATGGCCACAATGAACCCATCGCGGAACTGTAGAAGAAGTAAAAAAGCTTACAAAATACCAAATTTTGGTTGATATTTGGAAAACATTTTTCTTTATTTTCGTTTTTACTATTTTGTAATTCCTCCTGGCTAAATGTGTCGCTATTTTCGTAAGGTGGTATTTTTAGAAAACTTTTATAATGAGCCATTAAAATTTTTATCTATTTCTAATAAAAACTATAAGTAAAATATAAGTTTTATGCAACCTTTTAGTTTTTCAGCGCTATACAATCATCTACCAATAATTTACTTTAAAAAACCTACAAGTTTTCCTTTCAAATTTATACTCAATCTACATGCGAATTTAAAGAACGCTACAATGCTATTTACAGCTCGGATACTTTGAGAATGATAAAAAATCCAAAAATTGTGCTTTTTAAATTATTTTAATATTTTAAGCAACCTTTAATATTTATGTTTTATAAAAATCTGTTCGCGTAACACACACACAAAAAAAATAAAAGAATAAAATAAAACAAAAATAACAAAAATTTAAAAATTCAGTAAATTTTTAAACACTAAATTTTTTTTGCTTTTAAAATAACAAAAATTAAAAAAAAAAAAAAAAAAAAAAAACAGTAAATTTTTAAACACATTTTAAAACTGAGCAGCCGTGGCGCAGTGGTTAGAGTTCTGGCTCAGAACCCCGAGGTTCGACGCCAGCTCCAGCCCAACAAGCGACATTGGTACGGAAGGAGGCGTGAACCTCCCGTTTAATGCTCACCCGCGGTGCTCCATGATATATATATATATATATATATATATATATATATATATATATATATATATATATATATATATATATATATATATATATATATATATATATATATATATATATATACACACACATATACATATATACAAACATACACATACAGACATACACACCCATGCATACGAATATACATATACACTCCATACATAATATCCATACATAAATATACATATACACTCACACATACACATACATAAATATACGTATACACTCACACTTACAGATACTTATACACAGATACTTATATCTTTGGATTTATTAACTGTATTTGATTAGGAAGGAATGGAATAGGTTACTCTTAAAAGCATAGATTCAATGGAGAGCTTTTAGGGAAGGTTAATCCATAGGGAAGGTTATTCCAAGATTAAATACTTTGGCTTTTTACGGACTTATATCTTTTTATGGATTTATATATTTTTATGGACTTATTTATTAAAGTAAATACTCGAATGTTCCATGACGTCAAGTGGTTTAGGGTAATTGGTTTTTATTCAATAGTTATTGTTTATGTGTTCATAAGGTTTAATGTGTAATTGTCAATGTATTTATACAATTAACAATAATAATTTTTGAGGATTGTAATTTAGCAGATACCGGGTCAAAGGTTTTACTTTATAAATAATCAGGAGCGCTGAAAGCATTTTTTGGTCTTTGAGCTAACTTCATGGAGTAAAATCCAAACGTTTATATGTTTATACTTATGTCAAATAAAGATGCTTTGCAAAATATTGCGATAATTGGAGATTGGGAACATAAAAGCCCCTAAATTTTGTCTCCCCTGCCCCAAACGTGAGAGCAACAAGTTTATAAAATATTTTTTGTACTATTTTCAACTAGATTTATATTCATTGGGAAATTTTAAATTTCATATTAAAATATTTTAGCCCTCAAAAATAATAACCATATAAAGTTTAAACCCCCTCAATTTGAGGGGGTTGTAAATTTTATATTGTCAAAATTTTTGAACGCAGAGAGATAATACTATAAAACTTAAAATTTCTCGATGAATATAAGTCTAGTTGAAAATAGCACAATGAAATATTTCATTAACTTGTTGATCTCATGTTTGGGGCAGGGGGGATAAAATTTTGGGGCTTTTTTGTTCCCAAGCTCCAACCATTACAATTTTTTGCAAAGCATCCTTAATTGACATAAGTATAAACATATAAATGTTTGGAGTTTACTCCATGTCTGGAAGTTAGCTATCTGAAAGACCAAAAAATGCTTTTGGCCCCCCTTTAATAATTAATAGAATTAGTAACGAGATAGGCTTGTATGCTGTAAATCTATTTAAGTTTTAATTTATTATAAATTATCAATAGAATTTGTAACAGCCCTCATAAAGTACTTAAACATGAACAAGAAAGTGAATAAATCTTCTTGAATAGCAAACCGCAGATCATATACAGATAAAGACATAAAAATAGCACTCACTGATTTTCAGAGGTAACTATTTTACTTATATAACAATATATATATTTTTAAATATTATTGTTTCAATTTTATTCCTTTTTTATAGGTCTTAGAACAGAACTGGAGGCTGCAAAGCATTATGGTATACCAAGAACCACCTTAAGGAAGAAACTCAATGGAAAGGCTCCTATCACCAAAAAGATAGGGCCAGCAACTTTTCTAACTGAGGCTGAGAAGCACGTTCTCGTGAACTATATTATAAGCACTCAACGAAGAGCAAATCATATATGCAAAGACACTGTTCTATTCCTTGTTTCCAGTCTTTTAATGGACGAGAGGCTACTCGGAGAAATAAATAGGGGCAGACCATACAAATTTGGCGGAGCTGGAACGTTAAAAACTGACGATCGGTGGTTAGTAAACATATTAGTTATTATATTTATATAATATATAATAAGTTACTATACTGGTAATTGTTTATATAGTATTTTAAGTTTAGTCTATAGTGACAAGTATATGAAAATAATATAGGCTTTACCCATCAAACATTTGGTCTGAAAAAGACAACTTTAATGCGTCTCTTAAGCGTATTAGACGTTTTTTATACATTTAAAAGACGTCTTTTTTAGATAAAATGTTTGCTGGGTAGTATCTTAATTGATACAATAACTAAATAAGTTATTACCTTATAAAGTAAATAAACACAAATTAATAGTTGTATAGGCCAAAAATAAAAAAAGACGCCTTTTCGATGTCGAAAAAAGATGTCTTTTAGATTTGCATAATCGAATAAAAAAAGGCGTCTTAGAGACGCCTTTTCATGACAAGATTAAGATAAAAAAAGACGTCTTTTCGATGTCGAGAAAGATGCCTTTAGATTTGCATAATCGACTAAAAAAAGACGTCTTAAAGACATCGTAATTAAGACTTTTAAAGACGTCTTTTTTCCCACTGGGATGTTAATTATGTAGTAATAACATCTGTATTTAGTATTAAATATATAATTATTCATAAATTTTAACCAAGATACCAATTATTCTGACTTTTATTGTAGGCGATGCATTCCCCACTAACATCAAGAGTAAAAATTAGGAATCCTTTATGTATATTTATGAATATTATTATTTTCAGGACATTTTGGTTCAAAATTTATTTTTAATCATTATTTATCACTATTTATCATGTTTACATCATTTTATGTAAAAATTTATACTAAAATACAAAAAAATGCATTTAAATTTTTTTTGAAAAAGAGTAGAATTGCCCCGATTTTGTACATATGTAAAATTTTCAAAAATATTTTTAGTTTTTGTTTTGTTTTTAGTTAAAATTTTAGTTTTATATCAACAGTTTGCTTAAATGTGTAAAAAAAAGTAATTCTTGTGCTATTTTCTTGTTTTCGATTTTTTTAAGCATTTTTTAGAAGTTGGGTTGGTTTATTACCCCAGTTTACCCTATTTTTATTTTTTTGTTATTTAGGTGATTTTTTCTTCGGCATAATCAACGGGAGTAAGACGTGTTTTAAGTAAATAAAAAAGCAATGGGAATCACAATGAAAAACATTGAAATACTAATATCAAATAAGTTAGATGAACATAGGAAAAGTATTTTAAAGGAAACAGAAAAGCTACTCAAGGAACAAGAGAAAACTTTTACTTTAATTGTAAGTGGCAACCTTAAAATCATATAAGATAAACTTAACGTGATGGAGAAAGAAATTTTAGAAAACAAATCAAAAATTAAAAATATAGAAAAGGATCTTAACGACGTTAAAGATAGTCTAAATTTCCAAGAAGAAAAAACTTTAGAAAAAGTTAAAAAAATTAAAAAATACTTCGACAATGAAATCAACGTATTGTATACAAGAACAACAGATTTGGAAAATTGATCACGTCGAAATAATCTCAGAATAGATGGACTAGTAGAAAAACCAGGAGAAAGTTGGAGCGAGTGTGAAATTGCAGTGAAAGAAATCTTTAATAAAAATCTTAAAATATCAAGCGAAGTGGTTATTGAAAGAGCCCATCGAATCGGCCCAATTAATAATAAAAAACCTAGAACAATAGTATTAAAACTCTTAAACTTCCAGGATAAAAACAAAATCCTGAATGCTGTAAAAAATCTTAAAGGAACTGGTGTGTATATTAACGAGGACTTTTCGCAAGAAACGATTGAACAACGAAGGAAACTTTGGGAAGAGGTGAAACGACTTCGAAGTGAAGGTAAATACGCCATTTTAAAATATAATAAAATATTTAGTCGAGATTTTAAAAAGTAGCAGTGCGTATTTTTCTTAAATTTTCTTTTTTTTCTTTCAAAGCGCTTTTAATTTCTCATTTTAAGCATAATGAATAACGAAACAATAGATTTTGAAACGCTGCACTTTAATGTCTTCGAAACCGCAAATAATGTTATACTCAACGATTTGAATGACGCAGATGCGCAGATTTTTCGCGGAATAAATTTTGGTTCTCAATATTTTGAAACAGAAACTTTTAAAACTGAACTTACAACTTTAAGGAATAAATTCACTGCATTACACATAAATATAAGAAGCATAAATAACAACATTGATAAGCTTAAGCAATTTCTAACCGAATGCAATTATTTATTCAGTATGATTTGTTCAACCGAGACATGGTGTTCTGACGAATCGTCCAGAATAAATTCAAACTTAGAAATTCCTAATTACAAATTAATATCTTCTGAAAGAAAAACTAACAAAAGGGGAGGGGGAATTATTAACTATATTCGAACTGATCAAGCCACCAAATATAGACATGACCTTTCTACCTCAGATGCCGATAGTGAGGTCTTTACAATTGAGATAACAACAAATAACAAATCAAAAAACATATTAGTCTCCACATGTTATAGACCACCTGATGGTGATATAACAAAATTTTCTAATCATTTAAAACAAATTTTTTATAAAAATAACAATGAACAAAAAAATTTATTTTGTATTGGAGACATTAACATTGATTGCTTACAATACGATAAACATGCCAAAACTAAATTTTTTTTTGACGAAATGCTCCAACATTACATCTTCCCAATTATTAATAAGCCGACTCGGGTAACTCAATCATCAGTAACGTCAATAGACAATATATTAACAAATACAGTTCTTGATGTTACTTTAAAAGCAGGTATTATAAAAACAGATATATCGGATCATTTTCCGATTTTCTTTTCTCTGTCACATGATACAAAAACTACTAACGACTGTAAAATTGAAATTCATAAAAGGAAAATTAACAAATATGCTATTCAACAATTTAAAGAATCACTATCGGCAATAAACTGGGATAAAGTATACCAAGAATGTAACCTTGGACGCACCAACTCTGCTTACACTAATTTTGAAAACATTTTTTTAAAAAATTATAATAAATATTTCCCAATAAAAGTAATGCTAGTAAAAGAAAAACATCTAAAATGTCCGTGGATCACCCAAGGAATTAAAAAATCTTCAAAAAAAAAAACAAAAACTTTATATCAAATACTTAAAAAATAGAAATGAAGCAAACCTAAATGCTTACAAGAAATATAAAAATTTGTTTGAAAAAATCAAAAAGATTTCAAAAAAGAATTATTACTCAAATAAAATAAAAAACTCCAAAGGTGATATTAAAAAAACGTGGGACGTAATTAAAGAAATAATTGGAAACAAAAATTGCAAACCAAATAGTTTACCTACTAAAGTTGTTATAAATAATGAAGAGTATGTCAGTAGTGACGTAATTTCAGAAAAGTTTAACAATTTTTTCGTTAACATAGGCCCTAACCTGGCTACAAAAATTAATTGTCCAAACAACTCATTTGAGACATACTTAACTAATAACAATGACGAATTAGCATTTAGCGAACTAAAAATTGAAGAACTTGAAGTTGCGATAAAATCTCTTAAAATAAATAAATCTCCAGGTATAGATGATATTTGTAACAATATCGTTATCGATGTCTTTTTGGAGATACGCAAACCGATCTTCGAAATATTTAAATCATCAATTAAAACAGGTACTGTACCAGATAAATTAAAAACAGCTAAAATTATACCAATTTTTAAGACAGGCGAAACATCTTTATTAAATAATTACAGACCGATCTCTATACTGCCTACTTTCTCTAAAATACTTGAAAGAATAGTTTACAATAGATTATACGAATATCTCCTTCAAAATAACCTCTTAAACAAAAAAACAATTCGGGTTTCAAACAAAACACTCAACCGAACATGCCATTTTAGATCTTGTAAATAGCATGAGTGATTCTTTCGATAAAAAGCAATTTGTATTAGGGACTTTTATAGATTTATCTAAAGCGTTCGACACAGTTAATCACAATATCTTACTTAAAAAAATGGAAAGATATGGTGTTAAAAATATATCCCTTGACTGGTTCAAAAGTTACCTGAGTAGCAGAAAACAATGCGTTGTTACAGATCATAATAAATATTCAGACCTACTAGAAATAAAATGCGGAGTTCCCCAAGGTTCCATTCTGGGTCCCCTTTTATTTCTAATATATATCAACGATCTTCCAAAAGCCCTAAAAAAACTTGATGTAATAATGTTCGCTGATAATACAAATTTATTTTACTCATCGCCGTCTATAAGCGACCTTTACGAATCTATGAACACTGACCTCGAAAACCTCAATATCTGGTTTAAAGTTAATAAATTATCTTTGAATACAGATAAAACAAAATATATCTTGTTTCACTCCAACCGTCTTAAAAACTTTATACCAGACACTCTACCTTCACTAAAAATTGATAACATAAACATCAAAAGAACTGAAATAACTAAGTTTCTTGGAATAATTATTGACCAGAATATTAATTGGAAAGCCCATATTAATATAATAAACACAAAAATATCAAAAAGTATCGGCGTACTCTACAAAGCCAAACCTATGCTTTCCCAAGACAACTTAAAAATTCTCTTCTTTTCTTATATTCAAAGTTACCTAATATACGCTAATATTGCATGGGGAAGTACCCATAAAACTAAATTAAAATCACTCTACATACATCAGAAACATGCATCGAGATTAATTTATAATAAAGATAAATTCACTCATGCCGACCCTTTACTTAAAAATTTGAATGCATTAAATATCTATCAAATAAATATTTACCAAAATATCTTATTCATGCTAAAATACAAACTCGGACTTGTTCCGAAATACTTTACTGATAGCTTTTTTCATATCAACGCAAACAAATACATCACACGAGGAACAGGCAACTTCACCCTGCCTTTAAAAAAAACAAAATTCTCGCGATTTTCTTTAATATACCGCGGCCCATACTTACATAACAAAATAATACTTCAAAATATGGAACTTAATAAAATAGATAACCTTATTGCTCTGAAAAAAAGACTAAAACATATCATAATTAACTTAACCAACTTCATCGAAATGTATTAAACAATTTGTGAAAAATAGTAATAATAAAAAGCCCTACTACTTCTACTCTATAGTAGATACCAAAATACTTATGTGTATTCGTTGAACTAGTTCATTAAAGTTTATTTTATGTTTTAAAGGTTCTCGATGAAAAGACTATTTTAGTCTTCTGCGAGTTTCCTTACAACAAAGTAAATATTTTTTAAGAATAATTTTATATATATATATATTCAACAACGTCCACAAGCAAGTCCCTAGTAGCCCTGTGGTACGACGGACTTGCATATATTTTTTAAATGCATGGGTTAATAGCCAGCACTTTATATTATAAACAACGAATAGTTACCTTATTTTGTACACGGTACAACGCGCATGCGCTAAACAGAATTTTGAATTTCTTTTGTCTTGTAAAGATTTTAATGGTACAAAAATTGTTTAATTGTACGTTTTGTAGTTATATGTAAAAATATGTAATTTTGTTTTATTGAAATATATACGGATACTTTTGTTGTAAAAAAAAAAAAAAAAAAAAAAAAAAAAAAAAAAAAAAAAAAGTGATCCAAGAAGACCTAACGGTTTTATCACAGAGCACCGCGGAAGTGCATTTAACCAGGAAGTTCACGCTTCCTTCCTTACCGTGACGCGAAAATATGTCCAGAGCTCGTTTCGAACCTGGATCTCCTGCTTATAAAGCAAGCGCTGTAACCTGTAAAAATCTTCACCAATACTCCAGATTCTGAACTAGAAAAGGAAGAAAGTGTTCAGATAAGAAACGCAATCAGCAATATGATAAACAGAGATAACTTACTAACACAAGATGGGATCTGTGGTAATCTGGCTTAATCGATGTTTCATGTGTCTCAGACGCTTGTTTCTAGGCAACTTAAAGTAATAAAAATAACAAGAAAACGTTTATCACTGGTTCCACAAGAAAGAAATAATGTAAGAACTTTTTATTTAAGACAGTTATGCAAGAGAGATTTAACATAAATCGACATCAAAGTTAATTTTCTTGGATGAAACGAGGTTCAACCTCAACACTTCATCTAATTATGGATATGCTCCAATAAACACGAAAGTATATATAACAATCCTCTGTTAGCTGGTATAAAGCATATATACCAGCTAACAGAGGACATGATGGTAGCCATTTCAATTACTAGGATAATTGGATACGAGTTAACAGATGGTGCTAATAATGGTGATCGTTTGATTTTATAAACAGAACACTATCCATGTTTTATTTAATATCGTGATTGTATTTTAATAATGCAGGTTTTAATATTGTAGGTTTTGTCGTCGATCTGATGTTTTGGAAATATAAAATGAAAATAACAAATTTATCCCGCCTTATTCCCATCAACTTAATACCATAGAAGAATTTTTCGAAAAAAGCAGCTATAAAAGCATTCGTCTATTAGCTCAAAATAGCGAAGAAATAAAAAACAGAGTTCGAGATTTAATAAACGGCTAAGAATGGAAATATTATGATAATCGTTGGCAAAGTCTGAGATCTTATACTTTTCTTATTTCAGACTGTTAATTTATCATAGGCTTATGTAGAAATATAAATTAAATATCAAAATTTAAGAAAATATGAAATTAAAATAACAAATTAAAAAAATACCCTGTAATTTATTAAATAAACTCATTCGATGAGTTTTAAATGGCTACCACCAAGTTTTCTAAGATATATAGTAAAAAGTTTGACATGAATCATTAAGATTTTATAACTTCATTCTGACTTGATATTGTCCGTTTTTCTTTACTTGAGTAAATAACCAGCTAAAAAAAATGACTTTTTAAGCTGGTAATTTACAAAACAAATGCATGAGATTTTTCAACATGGATGCAAAATGAATGAAGTTTTTAAACATGGCCTAAGAGATAGCAGAAAGCCTTTGTGGTAAAACTGCAACAGCAACAAAAGAAAAAGGCAAAAAAAAATGGACGTTACTGAAAATGACACATAGGTGACCATTGGTTTTTATTTTTCATAAATCAAAATTTATATTACAAAAAAATGGCGACTTTTGAACAAAGTTTTTGCCGTTTAATTTCATAAATTCACTTTTAAACTAGCCTCACTCAAAAAAAAAAAAGAAAAAAAAAAACACTTTTGAGAGGTTATCCATAAAATGTTATGAACATTTCTAAGAATGACTACTTTCTGTAATCTTATTTATATACATTACTATTGGTCTTCCATGAAAACATAGTCTGTCCTGCCATGAAATATCTTCAATTAAAATCCACTGATTAAAATGCATCTCAAATTCTTCACGAGAACACACGGTTGAAATTTGCGAAAGTCGAGTTGCTTCATTCTAGATTAAGTCAAATTTACAACTTAGTCAAATATAAAAAATAACACAAAATAAACAAGTGATGTAAGTTAACTTTTGCAGAATTAATACAGATTTAAAAACATTAAAAGAACCATTATCTGACAAATCAAGTCAAAATAAGCAAATTCTGGAAGTGCCTTAAAAATATATTCATTTTTGGATATTTCATAAAAAACAATGAAAGTAGGTCGCTGATAAATTTTTTTGAAAATTCTTATCTGTTCCTGAGATATTGGTTCCAAAATTTGGCGAAAATACTTGAAACTTTAGCAAAACGAATAAAACAAACTACTTTATAATACACACACACACACACACACACACACACACACACACACACACACACACACACACACACACACACACACACACACACACACACACACACACACACACACACACACACACGCGATTAACACGAATTCTGATAATGCCAACCTAGCTGACCCAAGAATGCCACTTATATAGGTTGATCAATGCCACTTATATGGAGCGTACATATTAGGGTACCCTGTGATGCAAATTTTTAAATCTTTAAATTTTGTCAGCCGAAAATAATTTAATTTAAATGTTTAAATTAAGTGAAATTTTTGACTTTATTGACTTTATGACGACAATAAAAACACCTGTAAAATTTAAAGACTTTATAAATCTAATCTGCCGAATTGGACGTTCAAAGCTGCAAGAAAAACATCCTCTTAAAAAGCAAACCGCTATTGAGAAAGAACCAAATAACGTTGCAGCAAATGCCTTTTAGGGAAAGGTTAGCCCCACCAATGTTCTCAAACAAAGTTCAGGGAAACCTTCAATCTTTAGCAGCAAAAAATGCCAGAGCAGCGGAACAAAAAGCATCTAGACTTATTTCCAATGAAGAATTACCCGCTTGAGGAACTATTCGACTTGCTAAAGCATCTGACTTAAAGTTTTGTCTAAGCATTGTTGATACTGCATTAAGGGTTGATACCAGCTCACTGCCTCAAAAACAACATATCACTCAAAGGACTGGCAAAGACAATGGAGTTAAGAAACAAATTCTTGTTGTGGTATCAGAAGATTTACCAGAAACTAACTTTAACATAGAACAAATCTGGTCACTGATTAATACAAATAGAGTTAAACTAATTTTAGCTTGCGATATGAAAGTTGCAAATAAAATTTATGGACTTCAAACACATTTAAGCATGCACCCTTGTACACGGTGTGACGTCAAATTCAAGTGTCCTGCCAAATCAGGAAACTTGCGAACATTAGGCTCAATTAAATATAGCCTCGAGTCTTTGCAGCAATCTGGCGGGATTGTTGCTCATGCAAAGTTGTTTGGCAATGTTATTCGAAAGCCAATCATCAGTGGGCTTGAAAATGTTCTGATTTCGGAAATAATCCCACCGATGGAATTGCATGTTCTTATCGGAGTTGTCAATCATCTTTCAAGATACTTAAAACTGCCTGGTTAGTAGCTGTTAAGTGGCTGGCTGCCCTCCACATTCAACTGAGCCCGTGTCATGAGGGCCAGTTTGAAGGAAATGAATGCACAGGAAGCTTCTTAAAAATGCGGATGCTAATACAAACTTGGTTTCAACATTCTTCACATAATTAAAGCTTTCAAAAGTTTCAATTTAGTTGTAAAAGCTTGTTTTGGATTTATCCTTTAGCTGGATTTTGCTGAAATAATTGAAAATTTCAAAAGGTGTTACTTAATGATAACTGGTACAAGCGTATCACCCAAAATTCACACCGTCTTCTACCACATCAAAGATTTCATCAGTCACAAAATATCCCCCTTGGGGCCCAATAGTGAGCAAACTGTCAAAACTGTTCATCAAGATTTTATAAACATTAGCCAAGTTATAAACAAAACGATAATCATCCAGATTACATAGAAAGATTGATATGCTGCATAACTGATCTGAACAGTAAGCATCTTTAAAGAACTGCTACCACAATTCGATTTATTAGATTAGGCAACAGAAAATCATAGCTTACGGTTTATAATGAATATTTTAATCATTTTAATCTTTAACTGCTGTTAGTAATTATGAATTTTAATATTGCATATTAAAAATATTGAAGAGTGTTTGACTAAATAAGTATATTAGGTTACTTTGAAAAAATTTCTTGTAGAGAAAATCAAGGACCATGTCTTACAATTTGATCAGATGTTATTTGATGATAATATAATGTAAAAAATAGGGTTTATTTAAAAGTCAATGTATTTAAGGTTTCAAGAGGGAATAAAAATTCTTTTAAGAGAAACGTTTTTTTTTTGTTTTACCAACTGGTAGTACTTTTGCCAGGCTTTGCACTTTTTTTTGCATTTTGGCAGTAGATTATACTTTAGGAAACGTTGAGATATTTTCGATATGCATAAGCCAATTCAAACAGCGCTTTAAATAGCAAATCAATATTTTTGTTTATAGAATGGAAATGGTAGTTGTAGCAATAAAACAATTATAATAAAAATTGTTGATATTACATAGTAGAACACTCATGTAATCTTTATTTTGAAGATAGTGATCGAAAATCACAGTAGTTGGTAACATTTTGAGGTCTAAGTAGCTAAAAACTAAGAAAACATAAATTAAAACTGCCATAAATTTTTAACCAGTTAACCAATCCGGCTGAAATTTCACCCAGAGTTTGGTACAGCCATATGCTACATTTGCACAAATTTTTATCAAATTATATAAAGTTATTCTCATTTTACAGGTGTTTTTAATGTTGCACTGTAAAGTCAAAATTTCACTTAATTTGAACATTCAAATTAAATTATTTTCAGCGGACAAAACTAACAGATTTCAAAATTTGCATCACAGGGTACCTTGATATGTACGCTATCCTCCCATATAAGTAGCGTTTATGGATCAGCTAGGTTGGGAGTATCAGGATTCGTGCTAACCGTGCACACATGCACACACAGGTCCAGAAGACCTAGTTTTACCAGTTAAGATGTTCCAAAAAAGCTATTCTCTAAGACAAGCTCTTTTTTTCTGTTGCTTTCAGTTATAACAAGTACACTAAAGAGACATTAATGAAAGTATTTGATTACAAAAAACATCAGATAGAAAAAGCATGCAAGTTGAAAAAAAAAAGACATATGCCAGAAAAAAATAAAACATTTTTAGGAATTCATATTTTTTCAATTTTTGTTGCATGATGTTTATAATGTAAATATAGTTTACGCCATTTTAATGGTAAAGTTTAGCTATACAACCACATTTTATAAAGAAACTAATTACCTCATTATGTCAAATACTTCATTATGAAGAGTTCTTCGTAGAATAAAATTTTCTCAAAAAAAAAAAGCTTTAGCTGGTCTTGGTAATGTCACATCAGTTGGCATAAACAGGTTTTTTTTATTTCAGAATTAGTGGAAGTATAAAAATATTACTAAGTCCCTTGAAAAGAGTAAAAGGTATCTGAAGAGTAATTATGTTTCCAGATGTAGTGAAGATTACTTTTATAGTCACTCTACTCCTTTTGCTCTCTCAAATATAGATCAAGATTTAAATCAACCTACTATAGATGTTCACAACGAACAACCCATTGACTGTACTGACTTCATTTAACCAGTTTCATGAACCCATAAAGTACGTACTCTCGGATGGGGAAAGGGGTCTGCAAATGGCATATATGAGTTTGGGGGCTGGTGGTCAATTATAAAAGTAAGGAGACTAATTTTAAAAAATATAATAAAATATTGGTAAGTTAAAAGTGTAGATAATTTAAGGGAGGTGAAGGGCCTCAAATAAGCATATAGCAAAATTCGGGCAGGTGGGGGGGTTGGGTTGGTAAAGGTCCAAAGAAAAGGAAACTACATAAAACTTGATGAGGGGAACTGAATTTTAGTTCAAGATATTTGTCTTGAAAAAAAAAGCTTTGCTGATGTCCTCTGACTTGCTAATGTTGTTGTGGTCAAAGTTAAAAATGTTTTTCCTTGTTTAAAAAATCTTTATGTTAGGTCAGATAATGTATCATCTTATCATGGCAACTTCTTAAAATACCTTTTCATAATTTGCAAAACAAAAATATTCTTTCTTAAAAGGTATGATTACAATAAGTTCTCAAGTGGAAAAGATCAATGTTACAGAGAGTCAGCAGAAGCTAAATTTGTCATAAGGAGTTTTGTTGATGCTAGAAACAATTTGTTTACCGCAGAAGTTCAATATGAGACTCCTCATAAAAGCGAAGGAATTCAAAATGCTGGTGTCGCTGTAATTACAACTGACTCTAAAGCTTCTAGCTTATCAGGAGCAAATCTAATTGACAACACAAACAGTTACCATTCATTTGGTAACTGTTTGTGTTGTCATTCATTGAAAATGCTAAAAAAACTAGTTTTCATCAAGTACTTTTGTACAGTTCTATTTCAAAAATGTTTTATAGCAAAATTTTTGTTTACATTACAAATTATTGAGGCTGTTAAGTGGCTGTTGCTGAGCATATTTATACTGTTGCTGGGGTATTTTTTAGTTAAAAATTTGGTAAAAACTTCTAGGACCTCTGTAGGCTTTTTATCACTTGAGCCCATGGATTTTTTTTATCAGTTATTAAAAAATGCGTGTATAAGGAAATGGAATAACTTATAAATTTCATAGCAGACCTAAGGCCACATAATAATGTAACATAATAATTAAACATGGGTAATGTAACAAAGTGTCACAAAAACTAACTTTTGAAAGCTCATTTCTGCCCAGGCCTTTACATGCACAGGATTTTTTTCTTTAGTGGCTTTCAAAAACACCTAAGGAGACTATTTTCAACGGATATATTAATGTTCAAAATTTGGGTAAAATTTCAAACTAAATGATTTTGGACCATAATTTCTAGACAAAAGTGTAATCATGTTGAGTTTTTGCTTTTACTGTAGAAATCTACTAAGAGTAGCAGAAAAATTATAAAGAAATATGTCTGTTATATTCACATTGCTAAAATTGCCTAAAAAAGTTAGGGTTGTAACCTCAATAAAGTACCTTTCTGGACTATAGTGGCCGTCTAGGCTTTGAGAAAGTAAAATACATTAAAAAAAAAAAAAAAATCATTAAAGTTGAAAAAATTTCATTTAATAAGACCAATAAAATTCACCTTAAACCATGAACAAGCTCTTTCTGTTCGTATAACTGAAGTTGCCTTGTCAGAAAATATGTCAACATATTCTGTAATAAAAAACACACAGTTTAATTAATGTCAGACTAAATGCAAAAAAAGAAAAGTAATATAAAATAAAAGAATAACCAAGTGTTTGAATTAATATAAAATAAAAAACCAAGTATTTGAAGTAGATCATCAATTCCATAGCCAGGAATCACATCATTCATATGAGTACATTCAAAATAATCTTCCTTTGAATTTGATTCTATTTCAAATTAAATAAGTATTTTTTTTATTAAACACGTTTTTTATTAAACACGTTTTCCAAATATAAAATTACAATTATACAGAACACTCAACTTACTTTTGACATAACGCAAAGAAAACCCATTATTTAAAAGATTGGCAATGGTCCTATAAAACATAACATATTAACATTAAAAAAAAAAGAATAAAAATGTTAATAATATATTGTAACCATTTTTCTTTAGCCATTCTTTACCATTTCATATTTTTCTTAATTGAAATTTTATGAAAAATATAAAAAAATACTTTTTTTACTTTTGTTTGCACTCTAAAACATGATTGACTTTAATCACTGTAAAAAAACCCTGATGAAATCTTTTAAATATTAGCAGTAGAAATTTTGCTGATTCAGGATTTCTTTGCAAGTCAAAAGATAATTATAACAATAATTATAACATTTCAATATAACAATACGTGATAATAAATATTAAATTAGAAACTTAAAATTTTCAACTGTTTAGGTAGTTTTATGCATATTAGCCATTTGAATACACTATCATAACTAATCATCATAAATAATGTTGCTAAAGAAGGCTTCTCAAAATGAAAAAAAGGTTTCTCAATATAAAAAGTTGTAATATTAAAAAAGTTTTATACACCGATCTAAAAATTTAATTACCTTCAATATAGCATTTTTGAAATTGTAACTAAATTCATCTAAAGATGAGTTCTGAAAATGGTTCTCTATTTAGTTAATTATTTATTATTACAACTGTAAACTAGTAAATATGACCTACTATAATTATACAGTCTACAGTCTAATTTGTTGCATTTTCCATAAAAAATGATGAGGCTAGCTTTTTTACGGCTCATATTCTAATACAAAATGGTTAATAATATTTATACAATATATATAATTTATTATATATTATATAACTTATTGTATAATTTATTATATATTATATAAATTATTATATATTATGATTTATTATATATTATATAATTTATTATATATTATACAACTTTTTTATGTTATTCAAGTGAAGATTATTGCAATAATAATTGTAAATATTATTGTAAGTAAATATTATTGTAATTTTTAAAAATTTTTTAGTAATAAAATGGTTAATAATTAATAAATATGATGTCACAAACTGTAACACTGGCTACTCAACTGTTCCAAAAAAATCATTTAATTTTCCTTGTTCTGACAAATGTAATTTGTAAGAACGATGTATATTTTTTGTCAATAGAAAAGATTAAGTTCTATCTAAATACTCAGCTATTCGTGTTGATCATTTCTAGTAAAAATCTATTAAATACGGAAAAAAATCCACAGTGAAATGGGATGTTCTATTGACAAAAATAAAATAACTAGTTCATCAACTTCAAGAGTGCCAAAATTGTCCCGAAAGCAACCAAATTTAAGGTATTTAGGGAAGAGATAAGTGATTTTCAAAATGTTGATAAAATAATTAATTTTGATTTGTTAACAGAACAACATTTCCCACTAGGATTTACATTTAAGAAGCTTCATTTATTTTTTGAGTATTTTCACACAGCAAGGACAACATATTTTTAATACAAGCAAGGACAACATATTTTTAATACAAGCAAGGACAATATATTTTTAATGCAAGCAAGGACAACATATTTTTAATACAAGCAAGGACAACATATTTTTAATACAAGCAAGGACAACATATTTTTAATACAAGCAGGGACAACATATTTTTAATATTTAATCTTTATAATTTTTGATGTTTACATGAAGAAATACTGTAGAAATTTACTGTAGAAATAGTTAATTACAGATGAATTATGGAAATCTAAATAAAACTTCTTGTTTATTATTTGGAATAAATTTTTTTTTATTTTTTTTGATAAATAAAAATGACGATAAGCCAAATTATAATATATTGTTGCAATTGATTTAGTATGTTTCAAATGTGTATATTTTATAAACATGTATAGTGATTTTTCTTTCTACTCTGTAAAAGCATGTCGCTAAATTTACTAAAAATAAAGAGAAAGAGCTACTATTACAGCTAGATGCTAATGATAGTAAAAAATGGCATTATTACAATTGCTAACTGGGCTGCTTTATTTAAAGATGGTACAGAGAGTCGCTATAATAATCCCAGCTCAGAGTACCCTCAAACCAGGTAAAAAAAGCTAAAAAAAATTGCTTTTTTCAGTAATGTGCTTGCGCCATTAATGAAAAAAACCCTTAGGCAACACATAAAGCCCTAACATAGATTAACTGTTTTAAAATCAATGAAATTACATTCACAATGTTGATTAATAAACAAAGGAAGCATCATGTTGGATACCCCATGAATTAAGTGATCAAAATCGAAAAAATAGAGTTAAAAAAGTAAAATTTAGCCTTATTCAGATATGGTTCATGGGGACTATGTGATGTTATTACAAGGAAGTCTTGGTATTATTTGAGACAAGTTAGATACAATTTGACCATTGCTCGCTGAGTTAGTGAAGGTGAAAGTTCAAGAACTATAGTAAGATGCAAGTTTTTAGCCAAAAAACATGTTCTTCATATTTTTCAAAACAACAGTTGTTCATTTTAATTATATTGAAAAGGGGGACACCATTACTAGTTAATCTTAACAAGAAATTGTTTAAAACTTGTTATACACAAAATAAATAAGCAAAGACCAGTAAAAAGTGTTAGAAATTTTGAATTTCTCCATCATCACATTGAATTGGCTCCATCCAATAATTTGCTACCTTGCTTAATAAAAAAAAAATCTTGGTAATTATACATCAAAGTAAAAAATATTTAGTAGTAGAATTAATTAATTAAAAGTAGAATCAAGTAAAGTTAAATTTATAGCTACAAAGTAAAAATTTAAAAGTAAAAATAAAATTTGTAAGCTATTTTACCTTCCCAAACAGCCACTCACAGCATCTGTTTCAATGTGAGAAAGTTTTTGAAACAAATTTTCACCAAGAAACCTTATCAAATATAGAAAAAAATTTGTAACTTTTAACTGAATCTTTTATAAATCATAAGTTCTTTTATAAATATTTATAAAATATAAGAACTACAATAAAAAAGATTTACAATAAAAAAACATTTGACTAATACAATAAAAATTATCTAAAATATTTTGACAAATTTGTTTTGCAAAAAAAGCATTAGAGGAAAATTTCATAAGTTTTGAAATAAATTGCATGCAAAAATCTAAGCACATAACTGTTTAATGTTTATCACACTCTTAATAATAAAAAATATTTTTGATAAACATTAAATGTTTATCAAAAATATATTTTTAATGTTCAGCATTCACTTCAAAAATATTTTTTTAAATCTTACATCAAATGCTTATAATTCTAAGCATGTTTTTTATGTTTCATAAGATAAATATGAACAAATGAGAATACAATAAAATATAAAAAACACAACAGTATTAAAGTTAAAAAAAAAATCATACTCAAAATTGAGCTTTATAGGATGAATCAGTTTATTTTGTGTGAGTTGGTGAGTTTCATACATCTTTTTATATAACAACATTTCTGATGACCTAAAATTAATGTTTAAAACTTATTGCTATTAACTATTTTTATCTAATTACTATACCCATGCACACATGAGTGTGTGCGTGTGTGTGCACGTGTAAAAAAATCAGTGATAGATTTATGGGAGAGAGATTTTAAGGGTATAAAGTTATCATATTATAAATAGTAAATCATGAATATTAATAACATAAAATTAAACAACTCAAAATAATCAAATCAAATAAAAATAATAGTTTTTAATAATACTTTAAATTTATATATAGCAAACATCAAATACAGCTGCTAAGTTGTTTAATGAACACTGCAAATATCTGGTAAAAAAAACTTGCGGCTTATTTAATAATCTGATTATAAAGCAAACAAAATTCTATATGCAATCAACGTCTTGATGTATCCAACCAAACAGTTTCAATGCATAAAGTGCTTATCAGAGTCTTTTTTTTAGCCTGCTAGAATTTTTTTTAGCCTACATCTGTTATCCCTACTTTTAAAAATTCTGCAGAGTGATCTGACACAGCCAACTACCGCCCAATTAGTCTTCTTCCTATCATAAGCAACGTTTTTGAGTCTTTAATTAACAAACACTTAACCTCTCATCTTGAATTTAATAACTTATTTTCTGATCATCAATATGGATTTTGATCTTCTCAATCTACTGCTGATTTGTTATAACTGATAGCTTTAATTGTACATTAGATAGAAGTGGAGAGGTTAAGATTATCACTTTTGTCATTTCTAAAGCCTTTAATAAAGTTTGGCATACTGGTCTTCTCCATAAGCTCTCTTCTTACAAAGTGTCAGGTTTAAGATCATTGACTCTTAACAATCAGGTTCAAGATCATTGAATCTTAACAATCCTTCCAAACAAAGTATAAAAGTTGTCCTCGACTGACAGCACTCTTCTTCATTTCCTGTAACATCAGATGTTCCTCAAGGTTCTATCCTTGGCCCTATACTTTTTTAAATTCACATAAACAATCTCCAAGAAATTCTCACATCGAAGGTGGCATTGTTCGCTAATGACACTACCATTTATTCTTGTCTTGATAAGAAGTCAACACTATCTGATTGCTTGGAGGGGACATTTGAGTTTAAATCTTATTTCTGTTACAATGTGAAGCTCTCCGTGGATTGTGAAACTTTAACTCAAATAAAACTCAATTTTTCTAGTTAATCGTTATCGCAATAATCTAGATCTTCCTATATTTATGAACAGTAATGTATTCATTGAGTCATCTACCCTTCATCTTCTGGATCAACTCTTACTTCTGATCTTTTTTGGAAACCATATATCAAATCAATTTCAAAATTAACATCTGCTAAGGTTGCATCTTGTTATTGTGGTCCCCATTTTCCTATGCCAGATTCTATTCTTTCTCTCTTTAAATCTCAAATATGTCCTTGTATTGACTACTGCTGCCATATCTGGGGCGAATCTTCCAATGATACCCTTTCTCTTTTAAACAAGGTGCAAAAATGCATAGCAAACATAGTCGAACCTGCTCTTGCAGCCAACCTCCGGCCATCATCACATCATTGTAATGTTGCTTCTCTTTTAATAAATACTATAAAAGGCACTGCTCTAAAGAGCAGACGCCTCTACTATGGTTTGTGCAATCTACTAAAACTCATTTTTGTGTTACTCATCATTCAATTAAGTCTCATCTTTTTACTGTGACTGTTCCTAAGTGCTCCAAAAACTCTTATTTGTTTAATTTTTTTCATCAAACATCAATTCTTTGGAATTCTCTCCCTTCATCTTGTTTTCTTGCTTCATATAATTTTCAACTTTTTAAGTCATCTATTAATTGTTATCTTGCTTTATAAACTTAATCTTTTCTCTTCCAGTAAGTTCCAACTCTAATAGTGGTTGTTTGCAGCCTTGTTGGAAGTGAAGATTTAAAAAAAAAAAAGATAAAGAATTTACATCTTGATGAATCCAACCAAATAATTTCAATTCATTAAAATAATAAATCTGCATGTTGACATATCTAACCAAACAATTTTAATGCATAAAGATGATGAAAAGCATTGTTATGCATTTAATGTTGAAAACACCACGTTTAACTTTCGTGAAATTGTTGAAAACACTCCGCAACTACTACCATAAGTCCTTAACCAATGGTTATACTGGACAACAAGGGTATTTATACTACCTTGAAATATTGTATGAAAATTAATTCAAAAAAAGAGTTACATCTATAAAAGAAGTTTTTATTAAATTATTTAAAATATTTCAAAAATAGAAATCTAAATACCACGCGCATCCTTCACCAATATGATATTTGAAAAATAATTTATTAAAAAAGTCACTTTGAATTTTGGTCATTTTAGACTTTAAAATTCAACTAAAAAAAAAAATTATATTATTTTATAAAAATATACGTGGTAAGCATTTTTTCTGATCAAATTTGTATCATTTGATTAAAAACTATAGAAATTAAATTTTAAAATGTCTAATTAAATCTCCTTAAAATATCTCCAGCCTTAAAATAATAAATCAGATTTATTTTGCGACCATAATATCAACACATGGATAGTAAATTTAGAAATTGAATTTATAAAGATGCATTTTCAATATAAAAAATGTTTTGTATCTGTTAATGGAAGGTTGATATTGATCCCCAGATCTTTTATTTCTTATCCTAATTTAAAATACATTATAACTAGCTCTTTTAAAATACATTATAACTAGCTCTTTTAAAATACATTATAACTAGCTCTTTTAAAACAACCATAACAAAGATAATTTCAAAACAAAAATAAACAAACTTATTTTTAAAAACAAAAAACTTTTTAACAAACAATTTTATATTTAAACAAAATCATCCTGTTCTTCTTTGTTGTCATTATATGATATGACATCTTTTTTGGTACTAAATCAAAAATGTTAATCATCTTGATGTCAAAGATCTTAAAATCATCTTGATGTCAAAGATCTTTAAAGGTAATATTAATAGAGTCAAACCTTTTTCTGATGCTGAATCCAGAACTCAGCGTAGTTAAGGAGAACTCAGCGTAGTTAAGGAGAGATCCAAAAAAATTGCATTTCTTAAAAACTAAAATTTGCATTTTTAAACTTCAACTTTTTGTGTTTCGCTTATTTTCAACTATTACTATCATATATTTTTAAAAAGTAGAACTTAATCTTTTTTTATATAATTTATTATTTTTTCATAAATCTTTTTTCAATCAAAGTATAAAACAAAATAAAACAACCACTAAAATACCTAAAACGTGACGGGGCAGCGTCATGAAAACAGGTGAAACAAATGTGTTAATTTTTTACATTCCAAAAGTATTTCTTTTATTTAAAAATAAAAAGCTACCATGTTTACAACATCAAAATATTCAATAAATGGCTAAAAACCTCATATTTTATCTTTCCGTACACAGTAAAAACGTTAAAATCAAAGTTTTCACATTAGTTTTTTCTCATAGCAATTTACTTTCATTACCTCTTTATGGTCGTTTGAATAATTTACCTAAAGAAAAGATTTCAGCTTTTATATAACTGCAGCCCCAAAGTAATTAATTAAAATCTTAAACTCATAAATTTTAAATTACCGAATATTTGTCAACAAAATAAAACAATAAGCTTCGTGATTTTTTTAAAAAATAAACCAATCAAAACGCACACAAAATAAATTGGCGTTTTTTGAAAACGAAAGGGCCTGAATGCTATATTTTTCTTCGAATCTCTCCTTAATAATATTGAGAAGACTAAATTTAACTTTGACATGCACTAGAACAAATAAAAACATGTTTTTGAATAATAGAATTTTAAATACATCAATTAAATTTATACATCAAAATTTCATTGACGTTTAAATTTTATGTCAATTGATAAACCATCTAGCACTAATATCACTTCATCTGCAACCTTTTTATCAACAGTGTCATGAAAACTATATGCAAAAATAGTTTTGTCAAAAAATGAAGAAAATTTTTTTTTTATATTAAAAACTAGAGAGTTATTCATATTTTATTAATTTAATTTTTTGATGCTTTGTTTTCGGCTTTCTTAATAATTGCGATTTTGATAGTATTTTTTATATATATTTATTTATATAGGTTTCAGCCATTTTATAGTGCAAATCTCTTAAATAAGATTACTTTGATACAAACTTCTTAAATGAGCTTTTTGAAAGTAAGAGTAAAAATATCAACGTTTGAATACATTTGTTCAGGGATAATTATTAAGACAATATTAAACTCATTGTTAAATAATGTCATATATGACTTGCAATATAACATTTTATTCATTTTACCATTTGTACAAATATTCATAAATATATTAAACATTTTATTTATACACCATTCTTCAGTTTCCTCTGAAAGATTATATGCAGCTCATTTTTTTACACACATCTGTAATTTTATCCAACCTCATAAAAAATTCTCAAATGGTTTGTTTTCTCTCCTAAATTATATTCTTAAGTTTGTATTAGTTATAAAGCCAATGAAAACTTAATAAAAGAAAAAAAGTTTTTTTACACACACCTTTTTGAACTACTAAAACTACTTATATTAAACATCCCCTTTTAAACTAAAAATTTGTAATGAATATGTATTAGTTGGTAATAGTAATAATAATAATGTTTAAATTTGTAAAAATCTCCACACAATGACTTAGTTTAACAAGATTTTGTTTAATATTGTTTTCAAACAGAAAACAATATTAAACCAGCCCATAAGCGAAATTGGTAAGGAAGGAGACTTAAACTTCATAGTTTAATGCTCTTCCATAGTGCTCTGTGATAAAACCGTTAGGACTTCTAGGAGCACCTTAACAACTACACACACACAATAAAATGTAATAATAAGCGTGAGCTTTTTCTGAAGTATTGAATTACATTTACCCTTGTACTTTAATCTTTAACAAATTGGATATTGATTAAGACTAGTAGGTCTTTATGTTTTAAACTCATTAAACAGCATAATTTGGTGGCTCTTTGTTGTACTTATTTAATTACTTTTTAATTTGCTTTGTTTTTTAAAGCCC